CTCGTTTCGTCTTGATCTGACTTATCATTCGAATTCTACGATAAAAACCGTAAGACTCCGCTTTCTCGAAAAGAACTCGAAGAAATCGTATAAAACGGTAACGGTTAAGCAAGACCCGGAACTTCGCCTAAACTATACGATTTATCAGATCAGGAAACAGTCTCGTATAAAGTCGTAAAACGGTTTTTATCGTAAAACGGCCCGAAAGGTCCTAAGACACGATAAAAACCCATCTCGCGATATTAACGAAATCAAACCCGAAGATTCGATAACGTTTTGGTGGTTTACTCGCAGCAGAAGACAAAAGACAAGTTTGAAGATAAATAGAAGATTTCCGCGGAAGAAAAGGAAGGATCGACAGAAATTGAAACTTCCCGATATATTCGGTTTCGGGTGAAATGGAAAGACTAAAACCGCCTAAGAAGGAGTATATAAGCAGGAGGCATAGGGTAGAAGCTGGGACACAATTTTCAGAGCTCTCACCACCAAAAATTAGCATTTAGGAATATTTCTGTTTTCTGTTAGCGAGCTGCGTCTCAACTAGGGTTTTTCGTTCTTAGACTTTTCGGCTACTCTTTTTGGTATGAAGAATCACTAGATCTTATTACTCTAATATGTATATCTGTTTTCTGAAAATGTATGAAGAACTTAGAGCAGGATCAACGCAGTATCTTACGCATATTCGGATTAAGAACCTCTTTGCTCTCAATTTCGTTTATTCTCTTTTAAATTCTAAGTTTATCGTTTTCTTAATCTTCGTTGTGCGGTTCTGCAGATAGCTGGTTCCTCTGGAAACTTAGGGTTTTCCCGAAGTTTCCTTATTTACGATTTATTGACAGTAGGTGGATTTCGGTTCCCACACTTATTACTCTCTGTTTTACGCTTATCGTACAAAGACACATAAATGAAAACAAGGCAGAATCACCTGCTATCTTTTTTTGGTATGAAGAATCACTAGATCTTATTACTCTAATATGTATATCTGTTTTCTGAAAATGTATGAAGAACTTAGAGCAGGATCAACGCAGTATCTTAGGGGGGGTGTTTAATGATTTTCGGATTTAGAAAAAAAAAATAATGTATTAAGCGAAGCGACAGTGCTTAATTAAGCAGCACAAGAAACGTATCAAATGAGACACGTGTCATTAGACTCGTCTTTTTATCCCTCGACGAGTCATCTTCTCTCTTTCTCTCCCTTGACAAATCCGCTTCTTTTCTTCTCTCCCTCGACGACTCCGTGTTTCTTGATTGAAACCTCGACGACTCCGCGTCGTTCTCGTGAAATCTCGACGACTCTGCTTCTCTCTTTCTCTCCCTCGGCGATCAGTGTTTCTCGATTCTCTCCCTCGACGACTCTGCTTCGCTCTCGTGAAACCTCAACGACTCCAGTTCTCTCTTTTTCTCCCTCGACGACTCCATGTTTATCTCGTGGAACTTCGATGACTCCCCCTCGTTCTTGCAAAACATCGAAAACTCCACCTTTGTCTTGTGATCTTTCCCCGATGATGAAGCAGTCGGTGTCTCTCTTGGTGGACTCCTCGTCTCTGTCTCTCTCCTCGACGAATCCGTGTCTCTGTTTCCGTCCTCTCTCTCGGTGGATCTACTCGAAGGTGACAAACTTGTACCTCTCTCTCAGTGGCTGTCTTCAAGGAAATCAAATCGCAAGGTAAACATAGGTATTATTCTTTTTATGTCTGAATCCTTCTTTGATATTTGATTTGTTTGTTGTCTTGGTTACTTTTGATTAATTTTATTTGTCTCTGTCTTTGTTTCCTAACAACGACAGATCTCTTGTGTTTGTTTTTGATATTACTTTAACGTTTTTAAAAAATATTTGTGTTTTATTCGTTGGTCATTTATGATATTGATTGAAAGTGCTTACTAGTGTGGTCTCAAATGAATTGATTGTCGTTCTTGTCTAAATTGAATAGATGATGTTAGGTTTGTGTATGGTTGTGTGATTAATGTGTTAACTATATTAAACAATTTGTTTCTGTGTGTTTGTGTTTTTTTGTTTTGTATGTTTAAATCCTTAAATTTGATTCCTTGCTTTGTTTCGCATTTTTGATTTGCTCTTGTAGAGGAGTGCATTCGCTGGAGCAAAACAAGTAAATGTTTTAATCTTTTAAAGTCATTGAAAGATTTATGGTTTAGTTAGGTAGTTAATGTGTTTGGTCTGTTGGCATTGATGTTGGTAATGAAAAAAGGATTGCTTATGGTTGAGTTAGGTAGTTAATGACTTACTTTTGTTTGAAAATGAATTAAATTGTTGACAATAAATGACTTGTTTTGTGTTTGATTATGGTTGTGAAAGGGTAATTAATATAAATTAGATATATGTCAACTTGAATTTGTTTTTTGTTAGTTGTTTTGAGTGTTGAATGCGTTTGTTACTACCTGTTATATCTATCTTTCATCCTTAAAATTATTTCCTTCTCTTCCATCCCCAACAGATTCCTATCTGTTATTTCTCTCTTCTTTCACTTCGGAAATGGATTGTAATCCATTTACTGAGTCTTCAAAATTTGTTGAACTGCTTAGCAGTCAACAAAATGTTGTCTTTGGTAACGTATCAGATAGTGTTCACTATCTTCATCGCAAGTTTCCTTCTTAGGGAGTCAAGGCACCGAAGATTCAAACTTTGGGGAAGACACTCAAGTCAATCGTAAAGAAAGAACGACGTAGATGCTAACAGATGATGTAATGCTGATCAGCTCGTGGTTAAACACGAGCAGAGATTCCGTAGTAGGGAATGAGAAAAGGTCTCTTGCTTTCTAGGAAAGAATTGTTGCGTATTTCTCGGCTAGTCCTAAGCTTGTTGGCTGTGAAAAGAGAGAGGCATTTCACTGTAAGAATCGTTAGCACAAGATCAATGACTTAGTTTACAAGTTTCGTGGAGCATATGAAGCTGCAACCTTAGAGAAAAACAGTGGGCAAAATTAGAATGATGTTCTCAAACTAGCCCACGAAATCTTCTTCACCAACCTTAGAGAAAAGTTCACTTGAGCATGCTTGTAAAGAGTTGCGTAATGACCAAAAGATGTGTGAGCTGTCTATGGCTAAAAATGATGGAAGCTCCAAGAAGAGGAAGTGTGCGGATGGTTCAAATTCAGCAAGTTCTAAAGCAACTGAAGAAGATTTTGCTCTTGATGATGAAGGAACAAATCGTCCCCTGGGTGTTAAGGAAGCAAAAGCCCGTTCTAAGAAGACAGTGGTTGATGGGAAGGAGTTGTCTGAGTTTCTGACAATGTGGAGCATCAAGAAACAGGATTTGGCTTTGAAATAAAAGTTATCCAAGATCACTACAAAAAAAAAATAGTTTACATCATTTATTTTATATATTTGCATTAGTTATAAGTGATGTAAAAAACTTTTACATCACTTATATAAATGATTCTGAAAGTGGTGATGTAAATAATTTACATCATTTTATTTAATACTGATACAATAAAATTATATATTTAGATCATTTCTGTAACATCCCGAGTTGTGATATATGGAAAGAATTAAGAGGATTGATTTGGCTACCTATGTCACCAAAGTGCACTTACCTTTTCGGTAGCACATCCAGAGAGAACTTCAGAGTTAAGCTTGCTTGAGCTGGAGTAGTCAAAGGGTGGGTGACCTATCGGGAAGTGATTTGCGATACCGTGTAAGTGAGGCCAAAGCACGGGTAAATGTCATGTGGTGATTGCAGGGTCAGTAAACATGACTCTAGAGCCTTGGAAAATTAACGGACCGACCGTTGGAACGGGATGAGGCCCACGGGCCGAGAGAGCGGGTGTGGGTGGCCCATTAGCCGTGGACGGTCGGGCGTTACAAGTGGTATCAGAGCTGGTTAGCCATCTCAGTTCTGTCCTGAGAGGAGTCTTGAGACCTGTCATGGGGTGCAACGAGGACGTTGCGTTCTTTGAGAGGGGGTGAATTGTAACATCCCGAGTTGTGATATATGGAAAGACTTAAGAGGATTGATTTGGCTACCTATATCACCAAAGTGCACTTACCTTTTCGGGAACACATCCAGAGAGAACTCCAGAGTTAAGCGTGCTTGAGCTGGAGTAGTCAAAGGATGGGTGACCTATCGGGAAGTGATTTGCGATACCGTGTAAGTGAGGCCACAGCACGGGGAAAGGTCATGTGGTGATTGCAGAGTCAGTAAACATGACTCTAGAGCCTTGGACCGTTGGAACGGGATGGGGTCCACGGATCGAGAGAGCGGGCGTGGGTGGCCCATTAGCCATGGACGGTCGGGGCGTTACAATTTCGTTTAAATAGTTTTAAAAGGTATCATTTGTAAGAAAATGATGTAACTATAACATCAGTTATACGAAATGATTTTAGTATTAGTGTCAATTAGCAAATTGATTTTAATTGTGAAATCATTTATTATATAACAGTATATCAATTCTCAGAAATGATTTTAGTAATTGTATCATTTATAACAAGTGATTTAAAATATTATATCATTTTAACTAATTGATGTTAACTTTATATCAGTTTTTAAAAAGTGATTGTAATAATTATATCATTTAAGAAAGTGATTTAAATTATTATTAACGTATTGATGTTAAACTTATATCAGTTTTAAAGAGTGATTTTAACATTTATATCATTTACAGTTTAGTGATTTAAATTCTTATTATCATAGGTATATAATTGATGCTAAATATATATCAATTTTTATGAATGATTCTAATATATCTCACTTATATAAATGATGCAAACATTATTTTTATTTACATTTTTATGATTTATAGTAGTATATAAACCAATGGTTTCTATTGAATTTTAGAAAAATATAAAATGCAAGAAAATTAACTAAATAAAGGAAAACCATAACTAAAGAATGTAGTCGAAATTAAATTACATAACTAATTCATCATGCAAATTTATAAAATAAAATAAATTGAAAGTTGCTGAAAATATTGTTAGACTAGTGTTGATGAAGATCACTGCAGCCACAACTTCCAACATCTGAGTTTAAATCTCTAGCAGTAACATCACTCCGTTTCCTGAGATAGAATTATGTATCACATTAGATAATATTTGGAATAATCACTGATTGTAGAACTTACGTTAAATAGAATTTACCTGATTTTGATGTGGTGGATTTGGTATATTAGCAAAGGCTGGATTTGGTATGTTAGCAAAAGCTACGGCAAAACTTGAAGCCCATGTTCTTGCCTAAAATATTAGTTCAGCATATTAGTTTACATATTAAAAGTTTTAAGAAATAAAATTAATTTATAAATTAATTATTACCTGTTCACCCGATGAAGTACCAATTACTTGTTGGATGAATGTAGTCATTCCCTTAACTTGATCTGATAAGTCTTTCACTTGTGACTTCAGTTCAACAATCATTTCTGAATTTTCTATCTCTTGTCTCGTAACAGTTGAAAGATTCACCAATTTTGAAGGTGTAGGTCCACAACCAACACACCGTACTTGTCCTGGACGCTCTGGACCAAAAACTTGTGCATATTCATCATCCAAACAAGCAGTAGCATTGTTTGCAACATTTGACTTTTGACTCAACAACGTCGTAAGTGCTTCCTAAAACACAAGTGAAGGATAAATATCAAGTAGAACTAATTTACAAATATATGGTAATAACAAGTAAAACTAACCGCCCGTGTTTTTGCTTCTTCACACACAAAGCTTCCATTAGGTTTTGTGCGAGTTTCGATGAAAAATTATGCTCTACATGGTTGTTTTCCGGTCTTGATTATCTTCGTGAAAATACATGCATAGAAAATATATAATATTAATATAATAAAGTATTTTATATTAATATAGTAAATTAGTTTTACATTACTTACAATTTCATTTCCTTGAAAAACGTTGTCTTCCACAAACGTGAGGCATGGTATTTTTCTTTTGGCTTTTTGTATTCCTCTCTTGCGTTTTCTGATATCTCACGTATAAAATATTACTTGTATTTGAATTCAACTAAATATAAATATATAACAAATAAAATATACCTTCCATTTTTATGTGAACCTCATGTGAACGAATTGACCCCATTGATTTTCGGGAACATGTTCAGGTCGATTGAGCAATGTCTCACTTAAACTATTTCGTTTGTATTCTTTTCAAAGACGTAGTTTGACATCTTTGCATCTGCTACCTAATGCACTCATCACAAAAAAAAATTCTCATCAATGGATCATCAAACCTGAATTTGGCCTGAAATAATAAAAACATATCATGTTTCACCAGACCAATATATTATATTAAATTGATCTCAAAAATAAAAATTAATAAAGGGATTAAATGTTACGTTTTACCTGTCTTACTTCCCAAAATTTATTTTTGATGTGAGAATTAACCTTTCTCCAGTCACTGTAGTTAATGGGTATCAAATTCAAATAATTGCTCAGTTGACCTAACCATGATCCTAGTAGACTTCTTGACTCCCCAATTGGTTGGCCACTATCTTCGTCAAAATGAACAATCACTTTGCTAATTTGAATTTCCCAAACATCTCTAGATGTTATCATTTTTCTTTCGATATTTCCATCGGTATCTTGTTAAATAAAAAATAATGAGTATTATATAATAAACTAAATTAGCATATAGAAAATAAGTCTTGTCCTTGCAACACAAAAAAAAAAGATTATCTAGATAAGACATTGTACAAGTATAAACATCAACTCTCTTGATGTTCTAAGTTAATACGTTATAGAAAATAAATTGACTAAAACTGAATCTTCCTTTCACACATAAAGGACAATGACAAGATAACTACATTTAATAATATATTCTCTGAATAAACCTCGGATCTGTGAAGCTTTTCGAAAGGAAGGAAGAAGGGAGGGAGACTACCGAACACTCCTCCCTTTAGGAAGGTGTCCTGTACTGCATACAGTGCTCTCGCTATCAAAAGGCGAATTTCCACCCTAGTGGTGCGTATCTCAACTGGTGTACGTGAAGAAAGAGGGACCAAACAACGTCCAGTAACATGTACCGGCCATCAGAATCTCAACAGAGAAGAAGGAACGATAAGGGGGTAAAGAGAAGCATCCACGATGAGGAAGAAGAAATCATTAGGGTTCCAGCGTTTGATAACTCGGACCTGATTGCAAAATTCAAACGAACCCTAATCGGAAGGATGTTTCATTCAGATGGAAGGAGTGTGGAGGCGCTATTGAAACATATTCCCAGAAGGAGGATTTGGGACGTAGAGGGTCGGGTCCAAGGAACAAACCTCGGAAACGATAAGTTTCTCTTTGACTTCGATACAGAGGAAGATCTCGAGAAGGTCCTGCAAAAGCGTCCATGTCACTTCAACAAATGGAGCTTTGCTCTCGAGAGATGGACACCAACAATAAGAGAAGATTTCCCAAACACAATACCCTTTTGGGCTAACGTGATAGGGATCCCTGTCCATTACAGGAAACAAGAAACCCTTGAAAGTGTTGGGAAGGCGCTAGGAGCCTTTGATAAGGCAGATGTTGAAGGAAATAGGGTGAGAGTCTATGTTAATGGTGACTTACCGTTGAAGTTTGAGTGCAAAGTTGGCTTTGACAATGGAGACGTAGTTAAAGTTAAAATACAGTACGAGGACCTCTACAGACATTGCTTCTCGTGCAAGCGAATATCACATGAAGAGGGAACATGCCCCGAGCTAAACGATGAGCAAAGAGAGAGGAACCGCCTATCTAGAATTGCGCAACACGTGAAGGATGAACGTGCAATGCAGGAAGCATTCTCTAAACCGCAGCGTTTAAATGACGATCCGACCAACGAGAAACGTAACTCTGAGCTAAATGGGAGAGACCATGGAAGGATTGAGCTCCGCCCTATAGAACAGAGAAAAGGAAATCGAAGCGAAGACAGAAACTCCCATGACCTACGACGAAAGCTCACTGAGCAACGTGACTCTCTGACCAAGAATGTCTGGAACAGATTAGATAACATGAAGGACAGGCACTCTGAAATTCCCCGGAATCGGGAGAGATACCATCCGTATCACCGCAATTCGGATGTATACCCCAGTGATAGGACCAGAGACTCCGCTTCTTCATCCGATTGGAGACCTAAAGACAGAGGTGGATATCGAACTGAACAACAACTCGAGAAGAAACATGAGAGACATTCAGGGAGGCTCTGGGAAAGACCAAAGAGTACGAACTCAAGAAACAGAGCATCACCGGATTCTCAGAGAACCGTCTCAGACTATCACCGCAGAATAAACATCAATACCCATCACTATGGAAGACATCCACGCTCCCCGCCACCGGCTGGTATGGAATGGCGACCTGTCCAGAGAGCGAAGGACACGGAAGTGAACCAGGGCTTACGAAAGAGTAATGAACCAACAGATGGAACCAATATAACTGTTCGAGGAAGAGCGGCGGGAGATGTAACAACAAAAGCTACCTTATCTGAAGCTATTCGGACAGGAATGGGTAGCGACAAAATGTCCAGAGATGAAGAAGAAGGAGATAAGGGAGCAGAACAAGAAGAACAAGACACACACTCAAGGTTGCAGGAGAAGGAAACTTCGGTCCAGAGTAAAAACCAGGAAGCAATAGACAACTCTGAAGTAGACTCGGAAGAGGCAAAAGAGTTGCAAAAAGAGGAAGAAGAAAAAGAGGTTGATAAAATGATCAATGAATATGCTGAACTGGCGGACGCAGACATGACTGAAGATATGATGAACGCAGATGACCTACTGGATGATAATGACGAGATAGAGCCACCCAACGTAGGAGAGGAGATGGAAGAAGAGCAGATCGAAGCCATCTCCCAGCTCTCTCCAGAGCTCCGACCCTCCAAGGTCAAGTCTACAGCGAAGTTGACATCAAAAAAAGAAGCAAAGACCAAGGAGAAAGATGAGATAAACCAAAACCACTCAAAGGCGCCACAGGGTCAGCGAAGCACGGCGGTCGTCGCAACAGTGGGAACCAGGAGAGGCGCAAGAAGTCAGGATCTTAAAGGAGCTGCAGCATCAAAGAAGCTAGCAAGCAGAGGAAGACTCTCCCCAAAATCAAAGCAGCTGAAGCATACACGAGACCAACTGCTACAAACTCGGAATGTCCCTCGACATGAGGTGTACCCATCTGCTTCCAGGAGCAGGAGAACTCTATCTACTCTAGGTTCGGTGGTGTTCCAGAAACCACCCAGTCCTCATCAATGAATGCTATAGCATGGAATTGTCAGGGGGCTGGAGCGTACCTGACTAAGCAACACCTTCGAGAGTTGCATCGTTTTTTTCATCCTCGTTTTCTTTTTCTTTCTGAAACAAAAAACAATTTTACTTTTATGCAAGACTTTAAAGTTGAGTTTGGTTATGATAACTTGTTCACTGTGGAGCCAGCTGGGCTAAGCGGTGGACTGGCCTTTTTTATATGAATGATGCTGATGTGGAGATCAAGTTCTCCAACGCACGAATGATTGACATTGCAGCGAAGATTGAGGGACACAAAGTGTTTATTACCTTTGTGTATGGTGATCCGGTAACTGAGTACCGCGAGCTAGTATGGGAAAGACTGATGAGAATTAGCTTACAAAGATCGGGAGCTTGGCTGATGGTGGGAGATTTCAATGAAATCACCAGTAACTCTGAGAAAAAAGGAGGAAGGAAACGACCAGAATCATCATTCCTCCCATTTAAGAATATGATCTCAGCCTGCGGAATGATTGAATTCCCATTTTCCGGCAATTTTTTCTCTTGGGCAGGAAGAAGAAGATCCGGAAGAGTGCAGTGTCGCCTTGACCGAGCACTAGGTAATGAAGACTGGCACCAAGAGTTTTCCCACACAGATGTGGAGTATCTTCTTAGATGGGGTTCCGACCACCGACCTGTGCTCGTGAAAATAAAATCCAAAGAAGCTACAGGCCGCAAAGGATTCAAGTTCGATAAGAGATGGTTTGGGAAAGAGGGGTTCTATGATACTGTCAAGCACGGATGGGGGCAAGAAGTTCCCACGACACCTATAGATCTACATGAGAGGATCGGCCGATGTAGGAAAGCAATCTCCCGCTGGAAAAAAGGAACCCATCAAATAATCAGAAGTTGATAGAGAAACTGAAGCTGGAAATAGACAGAGCACAGAATGACGACAGTATATCAACAGCACAAGAACTGGAGCTAAAATGGAAGCTATGCGAAGCATATAGAGAGGAAGAACTTTTTTGGAAACAAAAAAGCAGGACAATATGGCTCCGAGAAGGGGATCGTAACACCAAGTTCTTCCATGCAAAAACAAAACAGCGCAGAGTACGAAACCGCATAACGAAGCTACTGGATTCTCTAGGTAATTGGGTGGAGACGGAAGATGGCATTGAGGAGCTAGCAACCGAGTATTTCGCAAACCTCTTCACTGCCTCTAACCCGAGTGATCGAGAGGAAGCCTTCCGGTTTACTACCGTCAAGGTCACACAAGATATGAATACAATGCTGACAAGTGAGCCCTCGGAAGAAGAGATAAAGACGGCGGTGTTTGCGATCCATCCAGAGAAGGCACCGGGACCAGACGGCATGACAAGCCTCTTCTACCAAAGGTTCTGGAAATTGATTGGATCAGACATTATTCGCATGGTTAAAGACTTCTTCACCTCAGGAGACCTAGATGAGCGCCTAAATCAAACGAATATATGTCTCATCCCGAAGACAGAAAGACCCAAGTCTATGACGGAGTTCCGACCTATCAGCTTGTGTAATGTAAGCTACAAAATCCTTTCCAAGGTCCTCTCAGCCAGATTAAAACGAGTCCTACCGAAGTTAATCTCGGAGACTCAATCGGCCTTTGTGGCTCGTAGGCTCATTACAGACAACATCTTAATCGCACAAGAGATGTTCCATGCCCTCAGAACTAACCCAAGCTGCCAAAGCAACTTCACAGCGATCAAAACGGATATGAGTAAAGCGTACGATCGTGTGGAGTGGAGCTTCCTGGAAACTTTGATGGAGAGAATGGGGTTTGATGGGAAGTGGATCCATCTGATCATGCGATGTGTTTCGACGGTCTCATACCAGGTCTTAATAAATGGTGAAGCGAAAGGCAGGATAGTCCCAACCAGAGGGCTGCGACAAGGAGATCCACTGTCCCCGTTCTTATTCGTTCTCTGCACGGAGGTACTTATTACACAGCTGAAGCACGCTGAAAGCGAAAGCAGACTCACAGGCCTTAAAATCGCAAGATCGAGCCCTCCGATATCACATCTCCTCTTCGCAGATGATAGCTTATTCTTCTGTAAAGCAACTCAAGAAGAATGTAGCGAACTGATGCGCATCATCGACGTCTACAGCAACGCCTCAGGACAACAACTGAATAAAGCTAAATCTTCAGTTCTGTTCGGTTCTAAGGTAGTAGCGTCCACAAAAACTGACCTCAAAAGGTCCCTTAATATCAACCAGGAAGGCGGAATGGGTATGTATCTCGGCCTACCAGAGAAGATATGTGGCTCAAAGAAACAAGTCTTCAGCTTTGTACAAGAAAGACTGAATGATCGGACCAACTCATGGTCAACAAAGCTTCTATCTAAGGGGGGTAAAGAAGTGCAGATCAAAGCCATCGCACAGGCAACTCCGTCGTATGTTATGTCATGCTATCTCCTGCCCCAAGGAATTACAAGAAACCTCACCAGCGCAGTTTCACGATTCTGGTGGAGTACCAAGGAAAACAACAGAGGCCTCCATTGGGTGGCATGGGATAAGATCTGTGTACCAACGGAAGAAGGAGGACTTGGGTTCCGTGACTTTCAAGATTTCAATATCGCCCTCCTAGCAAAGCAGATGTGGAGACTACTCAAGTACCCCCAGTCGTTATTGGCTAGGGTTCTCAAGGGTAGATACTTCAGACATCAATCTCCTTTGAAAGTTGAACGGGCAAGGAACCCCTCCTATGGCTGGCGAAGTATCGCCGCGTCTAAACAGGTCTTGCTCCGTGGCTTAAGAATGAAGATAGGAAACGGGCATGATACGAAGGTCTGGGAAGAGCCTTGGCTCCAAACAAAACCGGCAAGAGCTCCAAGTAACCTAGTTAACCCAAGGGACGAAAACCTAAGAGTACACCACCTAATAGATACTGAGCAACAGACATGGAACTACGATCTACTCAAACAGGTGGTTATAGCGGAGGATATACCTTTCATCACTTCGATCCGGGTGTCCAGAACTGGCCGATATGATAGCTATAGTTGGGACTTTACGAAGTCGGGAATATACACAGTCAAAACGGGATACACCGTTGCACGAGACATCAGAACTGCAGACACGAATGCTCAGGTTTTGGAACCAAGTACGACAGCACTAAAAAAAGAAATCTGGAAGACTAAAGCTCCACGGAAACTTAAACACTTTATGTGGCAAGCTACGGCCGGCTACCTAGCTACAGCAAAGCAGTTGGAAGATCGCCACTGCGCTCGGGATAGCACTTGTCAGAGATGTGGAGCCGAGGCAGAGTCCATCAACCATACATTATTCGAATGCCCACCTGCTCTCCAAGTTTGGGCTCTATCTCTTATTCCATCTCCTCCGGGACGATTCCCAGGTACATCACTATATGCCAATCTCGACTATCTCCTCCTACGTATAAAGGACAGAGGGACGAGTGATGCAGTAGTGTCTTCAATACCATGGATCTTATGGTACATATGGAAAGCAAGGAATGAGAAGGTCTTCAATAACAAAGACATCACGCCGCTGGACACTCTACAAATAGCGACAAAAGAAGCTGAGAGTTGGACGCTAGCCCAACGAGTTGTTGACGTGGAAGAGAGCTCACCAGAGGAGCAGCAGAGACGCACACTACCCCCGCCTCAGATCAATAGTCCGGCGCTTTGGAGCTGCCAAACAGATGCATCCTGGGTAAGTGATTGTGAAAAGACAGGCTTGGGGTTTGTGATACTAAACGCAGGTTCTCCAAAATGCTTTGGGGCGAAGGGAATCACCACTGCAGGTTCTCCTCTTCATGCTGAGGCGGAGGCTTTAATTTGGGGTATGCAAGAGGTCATCAAAACGGAGAACAGAGTGATGCGCTTTGAATTGGATTGTGAACAACTAGTGAAGCTGATAAACACAGAAGAAGATTGGCCATCAATGGCAGCGGAACTTGATGAAATAAAAGCTTTATCCAGGGAATTCATGGACATCTCCATAATCCATATTCCAAGATCGACGAACGTCCGTGCGGACCGCCTGGCAAAAGGTGGAAGATCACGTGTAAACCTCACTCCCTACGTGGGAAGTTCTCCTCCAGATTGGCTGGCTACATATGCTAACCAAAGCAGAGCAAGTTAATGTCGTTTTTTCTATTTCGATGCCAAAAAAATAAAAAATAATAATATATTCTCTGATTAAATTTCTCTACACATTCAGAACATCTTATGACTAAATAACTTAACAGATTTTAGAAAATGACTATGTTTAATAATATGTTCTAATTTCAATTTAACTTTCTCTACACATTAAGAATATCTAATGACTAAATAACTTAACAGATTTTAGAAAATAAATTTCAAGTAAATGAAAAAAAATAGTCTTTAGGTATATTACCTATAACTTATATTTTCCATTTGAAGCTTTTACATTCGGGAGCATGTGGAGGAGGCATGTCGTATTTTGTTTCCATATATGGTAAATCATCTGGTTCTTGTGTCTCTGAGTCCATGTAATCCATGATCTAAAACGATTGAAATCGAGAAACGTATGAATCAACGATCTCCTTCTTATTATCTAAAGTGAAGAACACAATTCAATACCAAAAAATAGACATCGAGAGTTACATCACCTTGATCCAATGAAATTTTTCGATGTTAACTCTCAGAAATAGGTCGCATGAGGTTTTTCCGAGAGAACGTGGATTGGTATTTAGAAGCCCTAATTAGAAAAAATTAATTAGATGTGGGTAGTTTATATAAGATACAATATTTCAATTCCTGCTTGAGATGGAAAGATAGCAGGATTTTAATTTTCATCAAATAAATATATTTTTAGAGGTTTCTTATAATTAATTTTTGTGCTGATCCGTATGCATGCATATATAAACCTAAAGTTAGTTAAGATCACAAAATTTCATTGAACAACATATAGATTTTCAATGATT